ACGCTGGTCTGCAACGAGAAACAGGAACAAGAAAGACAACACATAAATCAACACATGCCATCTACCACTAGGTGGCGCTGTGGTAATGTGCCACTGCGGTGGCAAAGAATCTCCATCTTACAAATAAATCAAAATAGAATCTCTGACTTCATTATCATCATCCATTAGATCAGATCATAATTCTATGTCTCACTGACATTTCTGCAGGTGTTATAACAAGTTAAAGTTGTATATAGCTAGTTTACATTTCCATTAACACCTGAGAAACAGCAGTCTTTACAAAACAGATGAAACAGTTAACAGTGTGAGAGGACTCACTGGAGTTAAAGCAAAAACCATATGCTCATGCACACACGGCAGTTTCAGGTACAAATATAGACTTGATGAGGAAGGCGTCACATGCATTTTGAATATGGATGAAAGCATTCAGATGTGAAGCAGAAGTAATTCTGATAGTCTATAATAATGATGCTGGTTTAATCATCAGGATCAGGACCTACTGGGGCCACAGGCCTGTATCACTGTGTCTCACTGCAAGCTGAGTGGGTGTTTTTCCATGTATACATATAGTGTATGTGTGCGTGTGCATGCGTGTGCTGGAGCACGAGCACGCAGGTAGAAGCATCTGCTGCTGTGACTGCCTTGCTAATGAGCTACCTAACTCTGGCCCTACGATGCTAATGAAGGAGTTTGCAAGTCTATGGGGCGAGTACGATACCTCTCACACCCCCAACTCCCTCGGCATGGTGCGCTGTGTGTGTGTGTGTGTGTGGGTGCAGAGTGTGTGGGTGTGTGTGTGTGTGTGTGTGTGTGTGTTCCATGTCTTCTCCTAAGGCGTTATTAAAATGCATCATTACCACAGTTCTAATTTCCTATCTATAATACAGGATGCAACATACTGGACTTTCTCATTAACATACTGCTATCCAATTTGTTGTGATGGCTACTAATGCCAGGGAAATATCGACTATTGCCTTTCTACACCGCCTATGATGAGGTGCTTTTCATTTCTCACTGGGTCTAATTTGCGTGCATCGGTTCCTCGGCCAAAAAACAAAACCGGTTCCTATAGATGGGTAAATGATACAAAAGAGTGGAGGGAAAATGTACCGAATAAAGGAGCTCGTAAGGACCACAACACACTGCTGGTTATAATTTAATTCATCTTTGTAAGATGTAGTTATTACAGCTAACCTGAATGATGTGGAGTTCAGTAAAGAGGCTACCGGAGAAGCTGAAAATACCTGCAATTTCAAAACAGATCAGACATCCAGACCTTAACATAATGTCTGTCTATGTGTGCGTTTATCTGTGTGCATGCTCATAAAACCCACAATCACCTTGGCGAGGCATTCTGCAATCATATTGATGAGCATCAACTCTCCTCGTCTTTCTCTAAAATGTTATTCACTGAGACACGACACTGAATGCTTAGAGATGTGAAATCTCACGGCCTACAAAGCAGCACCATAAGAAGGAGCAGGCCAATGAAAAAACAAGAAAAAAATCATCCTGTTCTCCTTCAGCTTCACCGTCCACAAAATTAATAATGATTCCTTTAAGTGAATACATTTAACTAAAATACTGAAATAAAGTATTTAAGTTCATCTGCCCAGGATGTTTTGTCCTATTTGAGACTCTAGCTCTTCTTTCACCATCAATATGTGCAGCTTTTAAACAAATTTAAACAAAATCTCCAAATAATGAAATAATGAATGTGTGCAAATCTTAAAGGTTCATCAAGAAAAACAGCTGGTGGTGCAATTTCTCCGGTCTGGTGTAGGGCTGGGTATCGTCACCGATTTCTAGAATCGATTCGATCCACGATTCGATTCGAATCTGGGAAATTTTGACAGTCAGAAATATTATAATTCAGATCAGTACATTTACATATTTTTGTATCTATAAAAAGGAAGCTGACACACGCAAGACTTTATCAAAGGTGTGAGCATCACAGCAGAGGCCTTTGTGTCAAAGTAGCTGAAGATAAAACAGAAAAACATGAAGGTGATTTTCCTGTTCTGGGATTTTATAAAAATATTCTGCAGTACATCAAAAACGAAAGAAAACCATTAATCAACATATGAACATTACCTCTGAAGTTACAGCGGTTTTATTAGAGACACGGCTAAGCGTTTTGCATTTTGCATAATTTTAAAAAGTTTAAATTTGTTCAGTATTGAACGGCAGAAATTAGGTTTTCTTTTCAGAAGTATGTAAAAAGAAAAAAAACAGCAGCA